TGAGGAGTTTCATGATTCATCCTCGTCATGTGTTTTGTATGACATATGGAATGCCAAAGCTGCTAAAATAGTCAATAAATAAATACATAAATATACAAAGAAATGTAATATAACAAATAAATAAATAAATCCATGCATAAATAATTCAAAGCTTCTTCCTTGCTTAGGCCAGAACTCTGAACTCGATTGCTCCGTCTGAAGTTTATTTCTACATTTCTTTGTCCATATGGTAATAACAGTGTGTTTTACCCTTATTACCATATGGACAAAGAAATGTAGAAATAAATACACGTGGAAATATATACATTTTGAAATAAATGTTTAACTAAATGAATGTATAAATAATAAAAAATACAATTAGACATAAGGAAATAAAAGTAGAAATATTTAATTTATTTATTGTGTTTTATTTCTTTTATGTTTCCTTGTAGATTTATTTATTTATCTTTGATATTTTAGATTTCTTTGTATATTTATTTATGTATTTTTTTATTTATTATTTTGGCAGCTTTGGCATTCCATAATGACAGTGTTCAGACAGACATTATGTAATATTCAAACTTAAAGCTGATCAGTTTGATTCATTTCTGTGAATCAGTTCAAACTCTGTTTCAATGAATCGATTTAAAACTGATTCAAATAAATAAAATCAGTGAGACACACACTACCTGTCAAAAGCTTGGGGTCGGTAAGATTTTTAATGATTTTGAAATTTATACATTTATTTGTTCAGAAATACAGTAAAAATTTGAAAAAATTTCAGTTTAAAACAACTGTTTTCTATGTGAATAAATATGTAAACTGTAATTTATTTCTGTGATCAAAGCTGTATTTTCAGCATCATTACTCCAGACTTCAGCGTCACATGATCTTCAGAAATCATTCTAATATGCTGATTTGCTGCTCAAGAAACATTTCTGATTATTATCAATGTTGAAAACAGTTGTGCTGCTCAATATTTTTGTAGAAACCGTGATATATTGAATTTTTCAGGATTCACAGATGAACAGAAAGTTTTAAAAAAAATAGCATTTATTTGAAATTTGTAACATTATAAATGTCTTTACTGGCACTTTTGGTCAATTGAATAAAGCCTTGATGAATAAAAGGTATCTGAGCCCAGTCGTTCAATCAGTAGTTTAATTCTCGTTGTTGTGTGTGTGTGTGTGTGTGTTTGAGTCACTCACTGTCGGGAGGGTGCCAGCATACAGCGTTCAGGTACATGCCGCAGTAGTGGAACATGAACTCGTGCTGCGAGCGGTTCGTTCTGACCTCCAACAGAGGCATCGGATCACGGCCATCCAGGATCCTTACAGAATCACACAAACACACACATACAGCACTTACACATCCTACAGGATTTTTTAGGTGGTTGCTAGGGTGATACTTGGGTGTTTCTAGGTGATTGCTAGGCTAGGGTGTTTCTGAATGGTTACTGGGGTGATACTAGGGTCTTTCTGGGTGGTTGCTAGGGTTGATACTAGGGCATTTCTAGGTGGTTGCTAGGCTAGGGTGATACTAGAGTGTTACAAGGGTCTTGTTTTGGTGATACTAGTGTTTCTAACCGTAACTAACTCTATACAAGGGTGTTGCTAGGGTGATAATGGGGTGTTTCTAGGTGGTTGCTAGGGTGTTAATGGGGTCTTTATGGTTTGTTGCTAGGGTGATACTAGGGTGTTACAATGGTGTTGCTAGGGTGATACTGGTGTGTTTTTGGGTGGTTGCTAGGGTGTTGCAAAGGTGATACTAGGGCGTTTCTAGGTGATTACTAGGGTGTTGCTATGCTGATACTAGAGTGTTTCTAGGTGGCTGCTAGGGTGATACTAGGTTGTTTATGGGTGGTTGCTAAAGTGATGTTAAAAAGTTGCTATTTGGTTGGTAAAATTTTCTAGGTGGTTGCTAGGGTGATACTATGGTGTTTATGAGTGCTTGCTAAAGTGTTGTTAGGCAGTTGATATGTGAATGCTAGAGTGTTCTAGATGGTTTACTGGGGTGTTACTAAGGTGATGGTAGAGTGTTGCTAGGGTGTTCTGGGTGGTTGCTAAAGTGTTGCTAGGGTGTTCTGGGTGGTTGCTACAGTGTTACTAGGTAGTTGTTATGTGGTTGCTAGGCTATACTAATATATTATTTATTATTTACAAAGCTGCATATTATCAGAGGTTAAGTGTGTGTTTTCTGCAGCACTAGATGCTGTCTGTCCTACAGGAATATAATGTTGAGTATTGACACGCTGATGTTGTACCTGTCCTCCGGCAGCATTCCGCCTGCCAGCTTCACCACTGTGGGAAAAACATCCATCAGACTTGTTGGTTCTGCCACTTCTCGTCTCGGGTTGAGACGTCCAGGCCAGCGGAATATTCCCGGAACTCGGATTCCTCCCTCCCAGCCGCCCATGGCTTTACCACCTAAACATAAGAGGGTCAGTAATGACACAAAATCATATATTTTTGTTCAGCATCAACACTCTTCCAAATGTTTGCTTTTGTGTTTCGTACCTCGATAGATTCCATTCCAGCCTCCTTTCGGACCCTCTTCGATGTGGTCAGAGGTGAAGTACATCAAGGTTTTCTCGGACAGCCCGAGCCTTTCAATGGTCTCCATCATTCTACCTGTGATCAAACACAAGATATTCTCTGTGAGTCACATTTCAAACATGTCATCCTATGTGACTGAGCTGATTAATCTGATCTCAGTTAAACTGTAGACCTAAGCTAACACACAGCTGTATATAGGCCTAAATACAGAACTACAGAGTACAGAAGATATTAGCCTACACCACTTAGGCCTATTAAAATATTCTTTAAAAAAAAACTGACCCGAAACAATAGGTAGTCCTACAGAATGTAGGCTAGATATAGGCAGCAGTAATTTATAATCTAATATAATGCACGCAAATTTGTTCTTTACAGAACGGAGCGGGATCTGAGCGGGAATTGGTTTACGGCGAGCGTGAGCGGAATATTAACGGAGCGCTTGCTTGGGCGGTTAGAGCGACTGAGTGGAGCGCACGTCCATAGAGCGGAAAACGTAGTGGAGCGTCACACCGCTCCGCTTCGCTCACATGCTCTGTTAATTACTCACCCTTTAATGAGCCGAAAAGAACACATGTCACACCTACGTGTACTGCGTTAGGCTAACCGAGACTTGTCATTTGCACTTATATATTGTTGCTCTTTTGTTAGTTTTGACTGCTTGTATTGTCCTCATTTGTAAGTCGCTTTGGATAAAAGCGTCTGCTAAATGACTAAATGTAAATGACTAAATGTAAATGTAAATCCAGAATCAGAAACCAGTCCCCGGGACAAATTTGTGCGAGGATCTGTTTCAAAGTTAACGTTCTGAACGGCCGTCTCATGAGAGCACGATTCAGACTTCTGAGATTGAGAATTGGTCTGAGCCCACCATCTTTCTTGGGAACAAGGAAGTAGCAGCTGTAAAAACTCAACTCGCTGTCCGCTAAGGGGACCCGCTGTATTGTGCCCTTCGCAAGCAGTGTGTTTACTTCAGACCGAAGAATGTGCTTTGTTGTCCAGTACCAAAGTCCGAACGAGACCTCTGAAGCGAAGTGGCCTGCGAGCAAACTGAAGCAAGTACCCTCATTCTATGGCTTTAAGAATCTTACTTGACAAGCCGGGAATGGCTTTCCAAGCCAAGAGCCGGGCGGCAAGCGGTTCTGTTTTTACTAGTGGCAGATCGCCGTGTGTGGGGATGGGGAGCTGACACTTGTGGTTATAGGGAGAGGAGAAATGCTCTTTTGAGTATGTGGGTCTGCTATCACAGTGGTAGTTTGTTGGGACACACGCTGAGCGTGCAGGATGTGTCCTGCTGAAAAAACTCCACCGCTCAGAAGGATTCGAAGAGGTGGGGAATGATCGCGAGCATTCTTCGAGGGAGTTCCGGCCTGGGCGAGAACTAGCCCTCTCCTCTTCCTCTCTGCTCTCTGATCAGGACGGCTTCTGAGGCTCTGGGTCGAGCAGTACGTGAGGGCGTGGACCTTGGCTCTTCAGGAAGGGGTACTTCCCGAACTTCTGGCCACCCGGGGGTGCTGTTGAAGCCCAGACTCCGGCTTTGGCGGGGGCTGAGGTGGCGCCAGCTTGACAGACTGCTGGATGGACGTGGTCTTGGGGTGACTTGTAACAGTCGCCGAGCTGGGGCGCTTAGGCAGAAAATGACACAGCGCTTGCGACGTCTTTTGAGCCTCATAAAATGGTCCATGAACCCGTCCATGGCAGCCCCGAACAGTCCCTTGGGCGAGATTGCGGAGTCAAGGAAGGCCATCTTCTCGGTGTCCCTTATCTCCCTGAGGCTGAGCCATAGGTGGTGCTCCAGCACCACCAGACTGACCATGGCCTTGTTGATCGCCCGAGCAGTCGCCTTGGTAGTGACGTCAACCTGCAGGGCTTAGATGGATGCGCAGCAGTCTTGAAACCTCTAGTAAAGGGTGGGCAGAGGTGAGCAGCCACCGCCTCATCGAGAGTGGCCCAGACAAGCGACGCACTCACTGTGCCCATCTGACTCCTTGCACGAGCTGATTTGAAACTTCATCATGAAATTTGCTCTTTTGGAAATTTATTTTTGCTCCGGGGAGGGCCCAATGGCTCTCTTCTTTCCTTCTTCTTATTCGGCTTCTTCGGCATAGGGTCAGCGAAGAGATGGTCTCGTTCCTGAAGGAGAAGATTCTGATGAAATAGAGCTCTGATCCAACTTATAGAAGGAGAAGATTCTGATGAAATAGAGCTCTGAGCCAACTTATATAAAGATCGGCTCCACCCATTCTAACGGGCTAGAGCACCATTGGTTTGTGCAGCTACACAAACATTACCAAATCAGGCTTCAGTACCAGGGTAAACAGGGTCCGTCCTCATACACAGCTTGAAGTGAACGTTCGAAAGGGAACATCTCTATTGTAATACAGCCATCATTAATTCACCATCATCATCATCTAGCTTGTTCTGAATCAGATCTGAAGTCACTAATAATTTGCTACTTGATTGCTTTTTCACCATAAAATGTTTTAACATTATTACTTTTACTTCTACCAGAAAGACTCAAGGCGTGAAGATAAAACTTTAAAGTATTTATTCACAGAACAAATACAGA